CCTCCCGTCTCTTCTCCACGAGGCGTAGCTTCGTAAGCCAGCCCACCTGATCTTCTCACCCTCCAGGGGTCCCTCCCTGCCACCAGGAGAGCCCCCCGTCCTCATCTTATAGGTCTCACCATCTGCTACTTCTTGAAGTCCTCCTTCTTGTCTTTCTTTCCTTTTCCTTTTTCTCTGCCCTTTTCTCCTTTGTCGCGATCTCTTTCCTTCGCTTTGGATTTTCCTTTTTCGTAGTCTTTGCCTCCCACCTTGTTGAAGACCTTGGACTCCTCGCTGGCGTGACGTCCTGCTCGCCAAAGCTCTCCTGTGGATGAAAGAGAGGCTTTTTCGGGAGGCACCAATTCCATGGCTGCTGGAGCTGCTCAGGGAGTGTCCTCCCAACTGCACCAAGAGGCTTTGCCTGGCCTCCGCCACCATAGCACTTGTCAAGCTCCCCGGATACTTCTTCCACACTTGCTGAACTGGCGTGGGAGCTTCGAACAGCTCCTGATCCCCCTCCAAGCTGGCACCGCTGGTACTGCTGCTCGACTCCTCGCTGTCCGACGAAGATGACCTCTTCTTGCTCTTGCCCCGGTCTGTGATCTTTCTGGCCCTTTTCCGAATCCTTCTTCGGCCTGTCTTGCCGTAGATCACCGACAACTCCTTGGTGCCTTCTATCTTCACCTTCTTCCTCTTCTTCTTTTTTCTCCTCTTCTTTTCCTCGTCCTTGTCGGTTTTCGCGCCTCCCGGATCTCCAGGAGGTGCCATCACCTCGCCTCCCACTGCTGTGTCTCCTCGACCTTTTCCTCGATCTCTCATCTCGTCTGCTTCTCTTCGAAGGCGGCTCAACTCGTCTTCTTCCCCTGCGGTCCCCTCCCGATGATCCAGGAGGCAACGACCCCACGCCAGAGAATCCAACTCCACCTCCTTGATCTCTGAAATGTGCATGAGGTTGTCCGACCAGGCTTTCACCGGGCAAGGATCCGGGCACAGGTGTAGCACCATCTCCCGCTTGGCGTCCGCCGACATGGCCTTCAAGACAGCCTCGCAATTTGTACCTGTCACCCGGATCACCACCTCTCGTTGACCGCCCGAAAGTCTCACCTCCACCAAATTGCCTGCAACCTCTGCGGCTTCTTCCCAATAGCTGCCTTTGGCCTGCACCGTCTTCCACCCTGCAATGGTCTCCATGGCGAGGGCGTCGGCCTTCTTCCACTCCTCGCCCAGGGGTCTCCCCCCGCCATCGCCTGGGTCCGAAGCCGCTGGTCTCCTTCTCCGTCCTGGTGCTGCGGCAGGGCATGCCATACGCCTCATCACCTCCTGCCAAAAATTCCCCTCCTCCGATTGTCCCAATATTCTTCGTTTCGGGCGGTATGTTTCTTACCCTTGTTTCTCCTCTTCTTTTTGGGCTTCGCAGTGGGAATGGCAGCAGCCCAATTCCCTGATCTTCGATGAAGAGGAGGGTAAGGAGGAGGAGCAGGAATCCTCCTAGGCAAACTGGGCCTGTCCGCTTCTTCGTCTCCTCCACTCCCGACTCAGCTGGATCCTCGTCGTCGGCCTCCTCGTCAATCTCTTCCTCCTCAAACTCCAACCCAGGGCTAGGCGGCGGGTCCGTGCTCGCCCGGCCCCGTTCTCGGCCAGGTGATCGACTACGTTCGTCTCGGTCAGGACGTGCCTTGCTCTTTGAGGCCAAGTTCAACCGCTTCGAGGAGCCACTGCTAGAGGCTGTTCTCTGATCCGGCCTGCTTCTTTTGGATTCTGGCTCCACTGAACTGTGCTTCACCCCCGTTTCCGGTGCTGCCGACGGTCCGGGGTATTTCTTCCGGGCAGTAGCTTTCTGCTGTCTCTCACCTTTGTCCTCCTTCTGAGCTGAGGCTTCCCTGCGACCCCGTGGCAAAGGGTCACGATGATCTGTTTCTCTTCGCTCTGGGGTAGTCTCTTCCGCCCTCGCCTCCACCAAGGGCTCTGTAGTGTCCTCAGCGTCTGCCTCCTGCTTCACTGGGATGGGACTCTTCTCCTGTCGCCTTCTTCTTCGCCTGCGATCTCTGTCTTTCTTCTTGTCACCTGAGGTTTTTCCTACCTCAGCCTCCTCTTCAGGCACTGAGCCTGATCCAGTGGCAGTTGGGCCTTCGGGCTCTGCCACCGTCGGTGGGTCCGGGTTCACGGACGACCCACCACCTCCACCAGGAGCACCTGCCCCCACCTCAGGAGCCGCTGCTCCTCCTGTATCCCCCGCCTCTCCAGGGGCGTTGTCACCACCTCCTTGTCGAAGCCGATGGGATAGCTCGAGCAAGTGGAGGTAGGTAGTGTCCAGGAGAGCTCCGGCGCTCTCCCGAAAGGGTGGAGTGCTGCCAGGCCCGAAGAGGATGCCAAACACCCGCGCAAATGCTTTGCAGCAGGCGCACTGACAGTCACCGGGTTTGTGCACCAGCCGCTCACCCATGAGCTGTGAGCCGAGATGCACTGGCATCGAATACAATTCCGGCGACGACTCGTTTTAACATACGGGCCGATTAATATATACATTCATACCTGAGAAGGGAGGGGACGAAAGCCAGCCCTCGTATACCCTCTGATATCTTCATTCACAAAACTCGTGTCAAATGCTCGAAACTGCATCTGCCGCGCCCTGCTTTGCAGGTGACTGCCAAACAAACCCAAAACGGCTGCAACAAAATGGTGCCTTAAGGTCTGTTCTGCGGGAACTTGTTGCTAGAACCCACTTTTCCAGAGGTGTGCGTTTTAGTGTCATACGTCCAGGGACAAAGCGCAGAAGGGCACCAACCCAGAACAAACATAATTGTTCAACGTATTTTCTTTATAGCTGCTTGGGGAGGCCCGGCTAGGTCCCAGAAGTAGTAAAGGCGGTTGAGCATTGGACTGGCTTTGCACTATATGAAGCATCACACTGAAGATTTAAAGCGTGTACTTCGTTCACTGAGAATTTGCCAGTCAGTCGGCGTTTGGGTTGGATGGATTATTGCGGCACAAGCAAATTCAAGAGCCTGACCCATTCGGGTGTAGGACTTCGGTGTCTGTTGGAACTGCACATCGCTCTTGGGTTACTGCGTCCATTAGCCCCAAACCAGGCCGCTTTACAGGAAGTGCACCATAGCCTCCCGAGTTTTTCAGGTTGCCGTGTGTCTTTACCTAAAGGCGATTCCAAACGAATCGCTCTATTGGTTACGGTGCATTGTGGCCCACCGTCTGTTGGCCCGCTTAGATGTTCTACGCGTTCACTGCTGCCAGTATCAAGCACGCCGGCTCGTCTCTTACAGCGGCGCAATGCAGAAAACGGAACAGCCCGCGAGTCCACGTTTGCCAGGGAATGACCATACACACAATTATACAAGCCGCTGTCAACTCAAATGGTATCCTGGCCACTTTGTGATGCTAATGGTGCACTATTAAACTGCCTGTTGGCATCACTCGCATCACCAAGGCCATTCTAATCACGCACAACTTTGACTACACTTTGACTTTGCCCACCCCTTTTGTTCGCTCTCCCCCGCCAGGCTCAGGTTCTGGGTTCACCCCACCTCGCAAACACCCCCCACAGCCCCTAATACTCACTTCGTTCACCCATCAGGCATATGTGTATATATATATATATAGCAAACAGTTTGTGTTTTTCAAAAGGAACACTCAGAGTTTGCGACGTCCAGAGCTGGGAGAAAGGAACGCAAGAAGGAAGAGGCGGAAATAGCAGTCGAGAGCTGGGAGACACGTGTAAAATCAAGGATTGCAAGGCAGAGGTGGATACAGCAGTGTAGAGCTGGGAGACAAATGCAAAGGACAGTCAGAGCTGGGAGACACATGTAAAATTAAGGATTGCAAGGCAGAGGCGGACACAACAGCCCAGAGCTGGGAGACAAGTGTTGCAAGCCAAAGGCGGACACAGCAGCCCAGAGCTGGGAGACACATGTAAAGGACACGCAGGCTACGGATTGCAAGGCGCAGCCCAGACGGACACGGCAACAAGCTGGGAGACAAATGTAAAGGATTGCAAGCGAGAGGGAAAGGAATGCAATTGAGAGGCGGACACAGCAGCGCAGAGGTGGGCGGCAAACGTAAAGGATTGGAAGGCAAAGGTGGACACAGCAGTCCAGAGCTGGGAGACAAGCGCAAAGGATTGCAAGGCAGAGGCGGACAGCAGTCGAGAGACATGGAAGGGGTTGCAAGAGGTCCAGAGCTGGAGACACATGTAAAGGATTGCAAGCGAGAGGAAGTGACAACGACGTGGCCAAGCTCAACAAGCCTCCTGGAGCACTTACAAACACCAGCAAACCACTGCAATACCAGTGAAGTTGTCCAAAAGGTAGGTTTTAGGGGGTGTAGCGTGTATATATATATATACATATACAATATGTAGAAAATACATATATATATATATATATGTGTGTGTGTGTGTGAGTGCGTAAACCGCTCTAGCACGCGGGCGACGACCGAAATTCAGTTGCTGTACTTGTGGAGTTGAGACAAGTTTGAGAGCAGGGGCTGTACTTATGCAGTTGAGACAAGCTTGAGAGTCGGGGAACTGGGCACTCTGTGACTGACCCAGTTCAACGAAGCTAGGTCAGAGAGTGGGATATTCGGACTGATCATCCGAACGTACCTGCACAACGGTTCGGTTTGTCTACCCCACTCTTTCATAAAGAGCTAGTGCGCCGATGTTCAAAGAATTCCGGTTTGCTGACCTTTCGCCATGCTGTTTTGCAAGTCAAGCGCTATGTAACCATTCAGCGAATCAATACTGAAATATTTATGCTCATTCAATTCAGCTACGTATCTAAGTGTGAGTGCGTTTTTCCTTTTTCTTCCGCCCTGCCGGGGATCACCCTCGATCTGGAGGAAGCTTGACTTGATAAGTTTGGCACTTGATAAGTTTGATCTGTGGAGAAATGCATTTCCTACACTCTTTTTCTGTCACATTTTGGATCGCGAACCCAGAGGGTGGAAAGAGGAAAATACAAACAGGTGGAAGAACGGTCTTATATATGCCTCTATGACGGACAAGTTGCTATGAGCTCAGCCAACTCAGCAAAGCTGATGTAACCTGCGCCAAAAAAACATAAACTGAAACTGAAACGCGGCATATAACTCGATCGCTTGCGTTATGTCATTGCGTTGCTTGCGCACCTTTGCCATCTTTGTCCCACTTTTTGAACTGCTCCTGCACAGCATGATGTTCGAGGCCAAGGCCAAGTGTAAGCTTGTCGGCACTAAGCCATTTGGAGATGACTCAAAGGCAAAGCTTTGCACACCGGTGAAATGGTGCTGGCACTAGGCGCCTGATCTCTGATACCTCTTCACCAGTTCTCTTTCAGTGTTTCCTATGTGCACCCCTGACAGTCCCGAACTGGATCAAGTCGACCTCAGCTGCAGGGAACTCATGAAGCTTGCTATCATCATCATCATCATCATCATCATCATCATCATTCAATTCAATATGTACCCAGAAGTCAAAAAGATCCCAAGAGCGCAAAAAGCTGCATACAGGCTTTTTCCAATGCGCTTTGGTTGATGCTGGGGTCCTCCCCCAGACCCTGTATCATTTAGTCCATTTCAAACTGCCCTGGACTTCGCCAGGGGGACAAGGGTGTGTCAGGCAGTCGCTGCCAAAACACCCGAATGTCCCCTGGTCTCCCAGGGCCAACAGGCACCTGTCGAGGTGCCAGGGGACAAGGTCGGGAGGACAGCCCACCGGATCCGGTCACGGGATCTTGGGTGGGCAGCTAGGAAAAACCCGTTGCGGACAAAAGTTTTGTAGCAAAAGGAAAAATGAAGAGAGTCTCCGGTGCCGGTAGCCGGCGATCTAAGGAGAATCCTTCAAAGTCCGGATGAGTCAATTCATCCGCCCAGGTGTTGTACTCCCTGGGGATGTGATTGGGAGCAATGCTACAGCCCTCACAATGAAGGAAGAGAACCAATTCCATTAGCAGTGCAGCCGAGTAAGGTTTCTTGGCCGAGAGGTTGAGCAGGCTGAAGATGTTGCCTGAGTTGTCACTGCCCACCGGGAGACGAACTCTTCCCGGCAGTTGGCCCTGTCGGGCCACCAGGTGCTTGCAAAGAAGTAGCGTTCCCAGGAGTTCCAGGGCAGCAATGCGTTTCTGAGGGTTGCCATCCTTGAATGCCCACGGATGGGCGTCTGCTGTAATGGCATAGTGGAACCATAGGACCTTGTCCTTGGTGGGGTTCGGGGAGGCCGGGGGCGTAGAAGGCAAAGAAGCCGCCGCCATGGCATCTACCGGATCACTAAAATACCCTGCCGGTGCAGGGGGCGTGAAACCTAAGCCCGCTCGCTCAGTGGTGTCCTCCTCCATCTGGTCGGCAGGCGCCGCTGGGCGTGGCTCCGCCGCAACAGGCCAGGCCAAAGGTGGTTCCGCCAGGGTCGTCAAAAGTGTGGGCTGGGCCGCCGCCGCCGATGGTGTAGTAGGGCTCGTCGTTGAGGCCGCCGCTGCCGTAGGCGCCACCCCCTCCACCGCTGGGCCAGAGGCACCAGGAGCAGAGGGGGGTTGGCCAGCGCCGCCATCAGCCGGGTCCTCTAAGCCCAGGAGGTCCACACCCATGTCCGCGTCTTCGCGTTCCGCAATCTGGACCTTGAGTGCTTCCAGGCGGCGCTCCAACTCCCGGATCTGCGCCTGAGCATCCAGCTCAGAAACCAAAACGGGCTGTCCAAAAATGGCGAGGCCCCTCGCTCCTTCCGCCTCCGCATGACGGAGGGCTGCAGACGCAGCATCAGCTGCCTGTTCCAAACCTCCATGCCCGGGCTACTGATTGTAGTCCCATCCTCAACGTCTGGTTGGGCATCTCGCACTGACTCAATCATGACATACTCCGGTTCCATTGGGTGCGCCATTGCGTCGTCGTCAACAAGAACCAATGTACTAAGGAGTTTTCTTCCAAACTTCAGGCGCAATCCTGTGGATGATTGCCACCAACTTGAGCCAAAATGTCCCGGTGGGACATTTTGTGAACTTCAGTGAACATAAAACTTGCATCCGCAAGCTACCTGCAAGTGTGAATTCATTCGAGCATGAGATCCACCCCGTCTCACATGGTAAAGTGTAAGGTCCAAAACCAAATACAATGACTGAGCTTTACCAAGTAAGACCTCGTCATTGCCTTCTTGTAGCCCGTCTGAAGGAGGTATATAGTTAAATCCAAAACGGGTGGCCGCCACTGGCAAAATTGCAAACTAATCTATTCCTCTGATTAATAAACGCCCCTAGAATAATGTATTTTCCTGCACTGATTGATAAAGGCCACCAGAATAATGTTTTTTTTGGCAGGGATAGTTGTAGTGGAATATGTTTGATTGTTATAGCTTACTTTTTCCCTTTTGCTTTCCTTTACTTACCTAAGCTCTTTAGTATTTAAGCTTTCCAAAAGTTTCCAAAAGTCAGTGCACACCTTCTTTACAAACTACCTTATTCAACAGTAATAAAAAATACTTTACTTCGAGTGATCCCCACCATGACATTTCAATCATTTGTCTTGATGCCATAGTGAGGAGCATGTTGCCATAGTCGTTAGTATTGTAGTTCTCGATGTTGCTTGTGGGTCCTCGGGTTGCGTGCTGTGGTTGTGTGCTGTGTTGTGGTTGTGGTTGTGTTTGTGGTTTTGTGTTTGTGGTTGTGTGTTTGTGGTTGTGTTTGTGGTTTTGTGGTTGTGGTAGTGGTTGTGATTGTGTGCTTGTAGTTGTGGTTGTGGTTGCGGTTGTGTCTTTGTGATTGTGTGTTTGTAGTTGTGGTAGTGGTTGTGTCTTTGCGATTGTGTGTTTGTAGTTGTGTTTGCGGTTGTGTGCTTGTGGATGTGTTTGTGGTTGTCTTTGTGGTAGTGGTAGTGGTTGCGATTATGTGTTGTAGTTGTGGTTGTGGTTGCGCCTTTGTGATTATGTGTTTGTAGTTGTGGTTGTGGTTGCGGTTGTGTCTTTGTGAATGTGTGTTTGCGTGTGTGTGTTTGTGGTTGTGTGTTGTGGTTGTGTGTTGTGTGTATGTTTGTTTGTGGGTGTGTGTTTGTGATTGTGTCTTTGTAGTTGTGTTTGTAGTTGTGTGTTTGTGATTGTGTTTGTAGTTGCGTGTTTGTGATTGTATTTGCGATTGTGTTTGTGATTGTGTTTGTGATTGTGTGTTTGTGGTTGTGTGGTTGTGGTTGTGTGTCTGTGGTTTTGTGTTTGTGGTTATGTGTTTGTGATTGTGTCTTTGTAGTTGTGTTTGTAGTTGTGTGTTTGTGATTGTGTTTGTGATTGTGGGTTTGTGATTGTGTTTGTTGTTGTGTGTTTGTGGCTGCGCGTTTGTGGTCGTGTGTTTGTGATTGTGTGTTTGTGGATTTTGTCTGGCGAACTATCTGGTTGAGGTCCAGCGGTGCACACTGCGATCGGATCCTTGCGGTTGAG